AAAAAAAAAAAAAAAAAAGTAATTCTGAACAATGAGTCGTAAGTTCTTTCCTTCATTTGTTAATGAATGCTCATTAAACACAATTCATAAATCATGTAAAGAATTAATTCCAAAAAGTCACGGATATCGCATGGTGGCGACTACACAAGTTTAAAGCAGCTGGTCATATGGTTATGTTATAATTGGCTCAAACAAGTACTTCAGTTTCCCTTGCTAATTATTATTCCACCAACCGCTCCACATTTTTTAATCATCCTGTTATCAATGGTATATAGCTTTGTTACTGACATGAGTCATTAAATAACAACGAAACAAGTAAAACTGAGGGATATCAATTAAAATTTTAAATACACTTCTCATTTACCTCATGCCCATCTCATTTATTTGGTGACCTGGAATACAGAAAAGTAACTGGTCCTTATTATCAAGAAAATCCACGTGAAAGCTTCACTTCAGTAATGACTAATATTTAAATGATGTGTGTACATACACACACAGACATATATGAATGTGCATATGTACATGTGTCACCCTATCAGAGCAACTTCTTCAATCTCTCGTGAGGTCTGAATAAACACTGCAAATTGCTTAACACATTCAAGTAACCATCATGAAACAATGTTAAAGTCACAAACTGTACGTTTACAAGTATAAGGATTAGGGTTAACAGGGAGAACGAGCGAGATCGAATGAGCAACCACGCAAACGCTTGCCTTATATTGAAGCCCGTATTCAACCAGAACACTACTTCAGGTGTGCAGTTCTTGCTCTGTTGCAATCGCAACACTCAAGTCACAATTACAACTGCACTTGCACAAGAACATGGAAAGAGATAGAAAATGTTGTTAATACAACATACAAACATGTTTCCATGGATCCTTTTCTGGCTCATCTGCATTAAACATTCAAAATTTTCAACTTCAATTGCAAAAGTAAAACACTTCAAAACATAAATATCATTACAAAGCTGATACCACACTAGTGCCATGTCAAAACAACCATACAAACATGTGAAAGAAAGATGTGACAATATCGTGATGAAAGAATGTCATCTGTGACTTGAGTGTTGGTTGTGAGTGTGTAAAAACAAGGTTACCAACATGACATGCCTAGTCGGCCTATTCGCAAACTTGGATCGAGTCAGGACTAGTTCTGTTTTTTATATTTTTATTTCCAGTTTATTTAGTGACGCTATCATCAAAGACTATATAGCGTCAATAGTTTTGTTATGGCTGCAAAAATACACTGTGCAATGTTATATGGAGGGCACCCATTTTGTAACATTTCATGCATGATATCCCCAAAACTACTTGCATGTAGTGAATTACAGAATACCCAATGAAACTTAATTAGTTATACTGCTGGCAGAATGTGAAAATATGATACAGAAATGAATTAACTTTTGCCAGATGTACTTTAGCAACTGAGTACAGAGTGTCCAGTCCAACAAACACAGGGGCAGTCCCCAACTCGATCCCATTTCTGAATACGGGCCTCTACAGAAGGTGAAGCAAGAACATGTCTGCTCACTCACCTCTCACGCACGTTGTTGGCCTGGCGACGCTCCTTTTCACGCACAGCCTTTGTGCCTGGATCCTCCAGCTCCTCATCGGCACTCGAGCAACAGTAGGGACAAGTGACTGTCAGTATGCAACCGATACTACAACTCGTTCAACTCAAAAATATATCTGGTAGATGTGTGACTTAAATCAGACTAGCAACTCTAACATGCTGATTCTGGAAGATGCAATGTTACTTGATATTTAAATATGATTTCATATTTTATCATTACTACCACTAAGATAAGGACCAGATTATTGTTATTTAACTTCGTGAAATGTGACTATTCTACCACCTGTTGGTGAGAATTTACTACAACAAATTCCCACCGAGCTTTATGATGGAGTTCCATTAAAGTTTCTTAAAAATCCAACAAAAACCTAAAAGTTGCTATGCACTGGATTGTAGATATGAGACGCAGTTTACATGGAAGATTCAACCTAAACCAACAGCTGAGGACCACTTAAATTTCTTGAAAACTGCCACATAATGAACAGCTGTCTGCAATACCTGCCTGTGATCATAATTGGCTGAAGTTTTTACACAGCACGCCACAAACACATTCAGGACAACATCAAAGAACCTTCTTCTCAAGAACGACAAGGCAGCACACGTTCGGTCCCCGTCAAGAGAAATAATAAGAAAGATGACACAAACCTACTTGGTTTATAAATTCCAAAAAAATCTTAACAAACCAATTACAAATATTTTAACGTATTAGAACAGCCGCTGTAGTTGTAAAAACTTTAGATTTTATAGCCAATTGTATATTATTAATATTACAGGTATATATTTTAACGTTCAGAACATATATTGTAATAGTAACGTCCAACTGTATTGATGTAAAGGTGTCCCCCTGATGATGGTCTCTGAAGACCAAAACATGTAAGGCCATAAATAACTGAAATAAGAAAAATCTTAACCAGTCACTCTAGACAGAACTGTTTAACTTTTCAAATTTGAGGTTTTGAAGCTTTGGCTGCTTGCATATCCATTTACTCAGACGTGCACATCTATCATACTATTTATCCAATAAAGAATTTAGTCATCATTTATGGGGATGCTGATATTTATATGAAACTTGAATTTCAAATATCTCAAGCTCACAGCTGGCTCTGGGAAAATCTTTTCTGCCTTGCACATTCCTTACATTAAAAACTGCATATTAAAATTCATTAAGATAAAATTGGAAGTCACTATCCGAGTACATCTAATGTTTATTACATTCATAACATAAACTGCAACTTTGCATATCATTTTAACATGAAAAGTATTTCAGAAAAAAGGACCCTACCAAACTACTAAATTGCATATTGATTTTCTAGCAGTTAAAATGGTATTTTACACATCAACAGTGTAACCGATCATTACCTACACCATCAATCCTAAATATTACCAGCCGCAATATAAATTTTAATTTCATTAATACTTAGGACTTAATACCATTTTTGTACTAGAGGTGACTTATACTCAGTTTTGCTGTGACTATTCTGAGAATCGGTAGCAAGGAATATTTTATATAAGGACTACTGCAACTCAAGATAATCCCATGACAGCCGGTATGGTACCTGTATCAGTTACTCCTCCCACCAGCCAAATTAAAGAAACTTCCAGAACATTCTTAATCTGTAGAACAGTGTGGAAATTTCAAGAAAGATCTCAATGTGGAAGGTTCTGAAAGTATTACATCACTCGAGAGTATTTAAAGGCTGAGTCTGGGTGGCCCTGAGTATTAGTGTTGTTGTGTATCGCTCAATATTGCTGACTATAGTGAACTGTACAGCTGTGTAAACAATCTCCTACATCCAGAAGTGTGTATCAGTGTTATAAATAAATATCAGCCTAGAAGGAATTATTTGTGTAATATCATGTAGTGCTGTTAAAAAAACAAATTAAGTTCATCAAGCCTCTCTCCTTGAAGCAAGGCCCTGAGAGGAATCCCCATGCTCGCACCTTAGGTTTTATTCCTGCTTCCATCCACACATCACTCCCGATATTTCCAACTGGTTATAGTGGCGCTCAACTATAGATAAGGAGTGAGTGGGGGGAAGAAGACAAAGAAGAGGGCGCTTAGAAAGTGGTCACTGATGTGTGGCTACACAAAATAAAATTGGTTAGAAAGTGACATCCTCAATGTGGAGCAGTGTCAAGGGCAACTACTGCACCATACATAAAAACAGTTAAAACAGACAACATACAACAAGTGCACTGGGATTACAGGTGGAAGAATCATGAGTATGCAGTACAGGCATTCAGAGGAAATCAAAATACTAATCACATATTCTTAGTGCATAATGACACCTCTTAACAATGAAAAACCAGTAATTAATTGTAATCATCACTGTAATCACACCGCCTTCATAGTGCTACCACCAACATTACATTTTCATCATATTCTTGTGGTGGGCAAACTAGTCCATATGTAGGGTGTAAGGGGCATCAGAAGACTGCACCTAAGCAAAAGAGGAAGAATGTGTGACTGACATATGATGCAGCTGATTTAACTAAGGTTCGTGACAAATCTCTGAAGATCTTGTGGTGTAAGGTTTTATCAACTGTCTTTCTGGTTGCATCCAGTCTATGGGCCAAATTCTACCCACTGTTACTCTATCCAGTCCCTTACACTAAACTATTTTATATCAACATTTCACAGCTGTGTTGTTGATCTATGGCAGTCTCTTTCTGAGTGGTGTCTATTATTGTCTGAGTGTGTTTTTGTGTTCAGTTGTGAGTTTCTTGTTAAACTTGGCAAAAGTGCAAGCAAAATCAGAGAGACATTAGTGCAACTTTATGGGGATAATGCCATGAAGAAAACAGCAGTTTACAGGCAGGTGGCACATTTTTCTGAGGGAAGAGATAGTGTCACTGATGAAGAGAGATCAGGAAACACAGCAACAAGCAGAACTGAAGAAAACATTGCAAAAGTTTGTCAAACTGTGAGTGAAAATCGTTAGCTGACTGTCGGGTGCATAGCAAAGCAAGCAAACATCAAAAGAGAAACAGGAAAATCTTAACTGAAGATCTTGACACGAGTAAGGTGAGTGTGAAAATGGTCCCAAAAGAGCTCATGGATGAACACTGTCTGTGAGGGAGTTTTTGCTACTAAACAAATAACTGTGCTCTATTCACTGAATCTAGCCTCCACTGATTTTTTCTGTTCCCGAAGATTAAGGAAATATTGAAAGGAAGTCATTTTGATGACATCAGGAGTGATACGGCGGCAGGTCTGAAGGCCATTCCATAAAACCAGTTCCAAAATTGTTTTGAAGGGTGGACTAGGCGCTGGCATCGGTGCATAGCTTCTCAGGCAACCACAGTAACATTCAGAGATGAGGTATAGAGCACATTTACCGCAACGAGTTCAGATCATGCATGTTTACAACAGCTGGACAGTTTTTATTTATGGGTTCTTGTACATTTATTGCAGGAAGATCTAACCATGTTTTGTATAAAATACACAGGAAAGCTGTAGGCTGACATATTGTGGCTCACTTTACTCTTTCTTTAATTAATTATTTTATTATGCTGTATCACATACTGATGTTGTGCAGCATCAACAGAAATATGGGGGGGGAAGATTATGAATTATGGATCTGGAGAAGTAATGATGTACTTCATGGCATTAAAAAAAAACCCTCAGGCAGAACAGCTGCTTCCCAGCTGAAGACTTAAACCACATACTTCTAATATGCAAATCAGATATTTTACTGTCCACTATACCGCTCTCTTTCTTCAATCCATGTCCACTAGATGCACAGACAAGGTGCTTTATGAAACATACATCTCTACTGTACCCATGATGAGAGACAGGATGGCACAGTCGGTATATACACTGGCTATGGGATGCATGACTGATGGGTTGGAGTTCGAGCCCCAGTAGGGTCAAGAATTTTCTCTATTGCACATCGTCCAGACCAGCTCTGGAGCCCACCCAGCCTCCTATACAATGTGTACTGGGGACTGTTTCTCAAGAGGTAAAGCAGCTGGGGCGTGGAGCTGATCACTCACCTCCAATTAGTGCCGTTGTCCAGCAAATGTGGATCTATACATCCACTCCCCATATGCCTTCATGGCAGTGCTTAATTAGTTAAGCACAGGGACAACTTTACCTTTACTGCACCCATGATTCTTCCTTGTTCAGGGTCAGCACAAACTACAATAACATGCAAGTCTGCAACTTACTATCTCCGAGACCGCTTTGAACCCTTCTGCCCTGAAGTGGAGTTAGCAGGGGCTGTTGTATTGGCACCCGTGCTTGCCTGGCTGTTGACAAGCTCACTGCTGCTTGGCTTTGTATCAGATACTCCAGGTGGCTCCTTCCGTTTCTCTGCGAAACAAAAATACAGTCGAATGAGTACATTTTATAACAAGGACACCATTATAGTGACAAAAACCACTGGTATCACGAGTTCCTTTATTGTACATACAGTAAACCGTTGCATAAAATGTGGGGTTCTTCTGGCACATACCTCATAATGAAAAGCACAATACATCACTGTAGGTCGCAGGGCAAGGGCCGAGAAGGCCAATCCCTTATACATTCATTCATACATACCTCATAATGAATGAATTCTAACTAGCTGCTAATGTTTTCCCCACAACTTCCTGCACCAACTATTTTTGCAGTTTTGCTTTCAAAGTTATTAGAGTTTGCGGTCAATACAGGTCCTATTAATCCAACCTCTCTTCTATACAAATGTCTAAGAGACAGCCTGCATTCCACAATCTGAGAACTCAACCCTCCTCCCCCACACAGTTTCAACCAGTGAGAAATGTACACATCATGTCCACTGAACCCCGCTGTATCTTTCGCCCTGTCACCCAGGCACCCCCTGCCCCTGAGCTTACTGTGGCCCAGGTGGCATGATCATGACACACAATTACACAGGTGCATGTTTAAGTTTGTCACATCAAACATGTACTATGATTCAGTTCACACTGACTGAAAAAATATGAAATCCCCCATTATGGTAATGAAAGAAAGACATTAAGTTTCAATCTTGTATTTAAGCATCCTGTTGCATTACTATATTCAACTTCTCCTTATGAGGTGGAATTATGATTTTATATAATTAATCATTTTAACTATTTTTAATTGATTTAAAATGGTGTGAACTGTAAGATTTTAACACATAACAGTTGAGTGCAATCATAATATTTTAATTATGAATATATCAGTTATGCATGTGTGGAATGGACAATACTCAGCGCAGTGTATGTTTGGTCTGTTAGAAAGAACTAATCTCAATCACTCTAATGAACCCAACGGAGTACGTGTCTTCCTGTCTCACCTCCGGACGGAAACGGACACAGTTTCCAAAACAGTGTGTTCTCTGATGTTTTCTTGAATATCAGATGATGGACAAAGTCCAAAAACCCAGTAATTCCAAGTGTTATAGACCATCGTCAGAACCCTTTAAAATCTACCACACAGTTAGATCCACTGCTGTCAAATGGACATAGACATTTCTTGGCGGGGGGGGTTACTCATGGTAAGATACCACTAGCATGTAGACACGAAACTGCACACCCAACTGTAGTCCACTTACATCAATTCCTCACATGGAAGAAATTACCTCTGAATGTAGTGACTCTTCCATAACAACCACATGCATCCATCTGCCTTCAACTTACAGGACACCACAAGCATGACACATACTACATTCTATCCTTTCCAATCTGAAAGCATGCTTTCATTCTATACTCTAAAGTGGGCACCAAACTGCAATATTCTGTTGTTTAAAACTACTGATATTTTTCTGGATTTTGTCCTATTCTGTTGTTTAAAACTACTGATATTTTTCTGGATTTTGTCCATCATCCAAATCTACTAAAAGCACTGTCTTAGAAACTGGTTCTGCCCTCAGTCAAAAGGATATGAAAGAAACCCTACTGCCGATCTCCCTGGTAAAGCTACTCTCAAAATACGATAGAACCAATTTCTGAAAACTAGCGGTTTTAGAGCTGTGTGATGGACAAAGTCCTAAAATAGTTTTAAGAAACATGTAACACCATTATCAAGAAGCTTTAAACCTAGCAATATTCTAGCTTCATACTTACTTGCAGTTGTTCCTGACAGCCTCTCAATCTTGATTGGTCCATCAGTGTCAGGTGTTGGGGCAAGACCAGGATAGGAGGTTGGTGGTGCTCCAACTGTTGAGCCTGGAGTGCCTGGATGTGGACTTGCCTGTAATGTAACATCAGCACAATTAATGTAAGCCACCTAAAATGCCCATAATTTCACTTCAATAACTAACAGTACAGTAAACCGAGAAAGTATAGTGTCTTCAAGCTGTATCTGAAAGCACTGCTGTGCTGACGATGACAGCACTTCAATAAACAACAGAGAAACATCTGCTGGTGAACTCTCTGAACCATACGTAGTTGGAATTTTGGAGGGATTACAACCTATATAAGGGGAGTTTCACCATAACTGATTTTACTTCATACATATGCTGATTACACTATAATAACTAATGAAATTAGCCTTCTCTGGAATGAAAGGCAGATCTCATCGGAACGCTTTCACGTGAATTTCCTGATTGACTGTTTACACTTGACTGCCCAAAACATGCCAATTCAGGCCTTCAGAGTTCTGACACACGCTCTCGATACACAAATTTAACATAATAAAGGACTTCAATTCTGTGTAACACATGACAATGTGCTTGATGCCATTGCGATACCACTTCATTTTAAACAACTACAAGGACTCCATTTCTGTAACCACATGCCAATGTGCTCAATGATAAAGGAACAACATTTTATTTTCAGCAACTGCAACACTGCACAATAGATACAGTGGCAACTTCAGTGTCATGCAATGAAATTTTTAGAATTTCTCTTCCTAATGCTACAAAGGGCATACTCTTTTTTTCTGTTATACTTTTCCCACACTACTGGTCTGAAGTGGGTGGGAAGTTTGATGAGTATTACAAATTAATAAACTGTCCCTTAACACCAGATGACCAGAAACGCAACAGCTGTTAGATATTTCTGGTATGTTCAAAAAACCATACACTGAAAACTCTATCAACAAAAACACAATGTTTTGCTTACCTGAACACTACATAAAAATTCTGTATGATTCGTGACTAAATATCAACTACCTGTGTGCAGACGTGACAGCTCCCAATATTTTAATTTCAAATCCAAATGTAACTTCTTACCATAACCTTCTAACCATGAAATGCACAGACACATGAACCAGACATTGTTCAAAAATCCATTTCTGGCAAGAAAGATCATCATACTTAGTCTGTAAGTTAAATAAATAAAACCACTGTAAACTTCAGTAACAATAATTTCTTTCAAGTAAATTTTCACAACTGAAACTGCACTCTAAGAAACTCCACGAGACAAAGCCTTGAAAAACCGATACTTATTCAGCTGCTCTAGAAATGTTTTTGTGCACCACCACCTGGTTCACAAAAGCTCTTCCCTGAACCTTATGGATTCAGTTCACACTCTACTTCTGATAAGTACACACAATACTTTTCTGCCTTCATCTCTTGAAAGAAAAACTACATCTGAAAGAGCAGTGTGTGGCAGAAACAGTGAAACAAACTTTTAACTACGCATTACCTGGCTAGTGTATGATGAAGCTCATGTAATGGCTCTAGAGCAGTAATTTTGCAGTTCAATTTTCCATAGAGGATCACGCAGTGAGGGGGAGAGCATCATAAAGAGGGCTCTGACAACAGTTTAACCAATGAGAAGTCTTTTCTCCAAATGCAATTCATCATTTGGTCAGAAAATGAGTGATCAAGGCTCTGTCACTTGTAAAAAGCCACCTGGTTGACTGTGTTTGGTTGACACACTTGACTTGGTATCTGTTGACCATGGTGTAAGGTCAGCACACAAACATGCTCAAGCTTCATGCATATCTAAGAGAAGTGTATGCTGTATCTTCCACAGTACCATAATGTTCGCAATTATGGAACTCAAGCTGTATAACAGCCCCATTTCTGTCCCAAAGGGGTGTGATTTCAATTTTTCATTAGTTTCTGGAACTAACGGCTGGCAATCTAGACATGCTAAACATTCTAATGAGCGATGAGGCACATTTTCACTTCCCTGGCACCATTATTATGCAGAATTTTCAATACTAGGCCAAACAAATCTCCATTAATTTCATGAATGTCCTCCATACAGCCCAGAAGTTACTGTTTTGGTGTGTGGTGTCATCCACTGTGATAAGTGGACCCCATTTCATCAAAGATGAAGATGGGCTAGCAGATATGGTTATACCTCATTGTTACAAATGCATGATTGAAACCCTCTCAAGATGACAGTACAGAATCTCTCAAGGCATGAAAGCTCATGGTTTTAGCAAGTAACAATGCAGCCCACAGAGTGAGAATTAGCATCATAGCACTTTGCAAATTTGTTTCTACAACAAATAGTGTCCCATTCCCTGGCCTCCTTATTCACCTGACCTAACAGCTCCCAACTTATTCTTCAAGGACACCTAAAATGGAAAGAGTACAGTAGACGGCCAGGACTTCAGTAAGCCAAAATTGAGAATATGAGTAGATATCACTGATATATCACAAGAAATTCTTTGGGAGGCGATAAAGAACTTCCAAACTAGTGTGCAGGGGTGCATTCAACAGGATGGTAATTGGACATACTCTAAAAGACTGAAGTGTTCTATAACAAAATGTATCATAGGCCTTGGAAACAGAATGTTTTTAAAACACAATATTTCTGTAAAATGTTTCTCCATTTTAAAAACACTTTTTCAAAACAACCCATGTAAAAGCTACATCAATTCAATACTTGTTGCATAATTCTTGTACCAAATGTGAATCCAGTGTTGGTTGTGTGGTGTGGTGATATGAGCCCAGCAGGCCATTGGAATGTGTTTGTAAGTTGGCAGCAGCAGCTGCAGCCGCTACAGCAGCACTGGAGGCAGCGATGGCGTGTAGACCCAATGCTTGGCTCTCGGCATGATTCCTCAGCACATTGATGGCATCGTCCAGCCGTTCCTCCATCCGTGTGCCCTGCAGCATATGCACACCCAACACTGCATTTGCTTGCTAAACCTTATTCTACACTTGAAGAACAACAACAACAAGGTAACATAAGATAAATATGCCATAAAGACATACTGGGGAGTGAAGTACAGCTTCACCATTCTTCACCTCCACACTAGATGGTGAGTAATCAGCTTCATGCCCTGCCCTTTACTCACAGGGACAGAAATTGGTACCCATTAGACAAAAGGCTGGTTGGCCCCAAGAGTCAGTCTGGAAGCTGTGCTGGGAATCATAACCCAGACGTCCAGCCCACAGCGCATTGCTATACCAAACTATCCAGACTCCTAACAAGGACAACACCAAAAATGACAACAATAATTAAATAAATACAGGTACACCTAAAACCTAAGGACCAGAAATGTACACCTTTTAAGTTTTATTGAACTTAGGAACTTATGACACAATTGAAGAAATTCTTCAGGAAGATGGAAGAGGAGACACAAACAGCATCATATTGGGAGACTGGAATAGCACTGTTGGAGATGAATCATATCAGAATATTGTTGGAACACATGGACTAGGAAGACGGAATCACCGGGGTCAAATTCTTATTGACTTTTGTGAAAGAAATGGACTGATTGTTACCAACACTTGGTTCAAGAAGCCAAAGAGAAGACTTTACACATGGAAGGCACCTGGGGATTGGAGGTGACATCAGCTGGGCTACATCCTTGTGAAACGTCGATTCAGAAACAGTGTGAAGGATGTGAAGATGCTGCCTGGGGCAAATATTGACTCTGACCACAACTTACTGGTTGCCAAGTTTCGAACCAGGTTGAAGAAAATTATAAGATTCCAAAAGCGCAGACCTAGATGGGATTTGGAGAAGTTATATGCTCAAAGACAAAGCGTGCAGGAGACCCTAGAAGAGAAACTCAGTGCAACTGAAAGTGAAAGCGGAAATGTTGAAGTGCAGTGGAACAATATAAAAGAATGCATGTTAGATACTATTAGCGAATTGGTTGGTGAAGTTGAGAAGACAGCAAGAAAACCATGGGTTACACAGGAGATGATGAGTAAAATGGAGGAGTGAAGGAAATGGAAGAATGTAAACAATGAAGAAGCCAGGAGGAAATACAGGAGACTGAGGAATGACTTGAAAAGAGCCACGGACAGGGCCAAAAAGGAATATCTTGAGAAGATATGTAATGAGATTATAGAATTTCAAAGGACAGGGTGTCATGATTTGATGTGCATGAAGACAAAAGAACCAGGATGAAAAGAGAACCATGAGATTCAAAATACTGGCATTGAAGACTGCCAGGGGAATAGAATGGTAGATCAGAGGCAAGTGCTGAAAATTTGAGAAAATTATATTACAGAACTATATGATCGACCTAATCGGCCAGAAACCTTGGAAGTGGAACCAGAAGAAGAAGTAGATACAGACGAGAAAGGACCATATATTTTACAAAGTGAGGTGGAAAAAGCTATCATGGACATGAGGAATGGAAAGGCAACAGGAGATGATGATGATGTGCTTAAGTTACTCAGAGAAGGTGGTTTGAAAACACTGAGAAAACTAATAAACACCATATATGAAACTGGGGAATGGCCCAAGGACTTTACAGAAGTGACAATGATTGCCTTAAAGAAAAACACAAAAGCTACAAAATGCAGTGACTATCGCACAACAAGCCTTATGGCACATATTGAATGAAAGACAGAGGGGTGGACAGAAGTGACTAGAAGACGAGGAAGAAGACGTAAGAAGATGCTGGATGACCTTGGGGACAGAAGAGGATATTCTCATTTGAAAGAGAAAGCTCTAGATCGCATTATGTGGAGGAACTGTTTTGGAAGAGACTGTCGACCTGTCGTCTTGACAGATTACTGATGAATGAATGAATGAATGAATGAATGAGTGAATTAATCTGCGTGATAACATACAAAAGACAGAAGAACAGCAGAGAATTTAATCAGCCTTACTGCCATCTGTGAGCTGTCTAGAGAAAATGTGGCAGCATCGACCCCTCACAATCCTATGGCCTTCACGGCTTGTTACAGGGATAGCGTTTTTCTCCAACCCCCACAAAACTCCCCGACAAGGTTATCTGCAGTTAGCTGAAAACCAGAGTTGGACGCCTCAGTGTCCCCAGGCAAGAGCTAATGGTTATTTTCAACAGTTCCAGAATCTGAAGGAAAGGCTTGTCTGGTTGCAGTCTGTGTAGACTGGAGTTCCTTCACAATTTAGTCACATTTTTCATATAATACATATGATTAGAGTTTTTTCCCCTTTTACATCAAAACCAGTACCCACACAATACACTAGTGCATAATGCCATAAAAATGGGACCTGGATTAGGCTACACATGTTAAGAGAAGTAATCAAACTGAGAACAGAACAGCTACATGAGACTCGGCATGTTCTTCAAAGAAGAATTCTAAATTTGGAAAAAAAAAGATTCTGAATACTCTGAAACAACAAATGGAAGTGAAACAGCTCTTCTGCCCCCCCAATCTAAAATCCACTTACTGGAAAAAGAATAACTTTGTGGCAGTAAATAACTTGAATTAAAATTCTAGTACAGCATCTTACTTGAAAAGGGATGAAAATGTAAGAATAAGTATGCTGAAAAACAAGATGCTCCACAATAAGCACGTGTCGATTTTTTAACTCTTAAGTATATGGAAATATGCTTCAAAGAAAAATCTTATATACTTTGTACTCTACACATATTTGCCAGAACAGAACTGGGAATGCTACACACATCCGTACGAAGTCTACTCCATTATCACCACTCTCAGCAGAAATCCACAGAGAACTGGATTGTAAACTGGAACTTATTTCAGTTACACAACAAATGAGCTGCCAACAAATCGTGATGGGAGTAAATTCCAGTTTTTATAAATTTAATTTATATTTTTTGTTCACCTCCGATCTGAAATGAAGTTATGATGATGACGACAATTTTTTCAAACTAAGCCATTTGAACCATTTAAACTAAACCATTTAAAAATATTGAAGATTCAAAATGATTTACAAGTTTATCACTAACTATTTATTGAAACGTACAAATCATCATCAATACACCTTATCATTATGTGATTATGTTATACACAGCCCATCCTGATGACTAACCATCTATATCACTACGATAAAAAAGGGAGTGCGCTTGATAACTGTACTTGCAAATTTTCAAACTTAATAAACACACCAACCAGAATAGTTTCTTAGCTGTGTGTGCCATTTAACATAACTGATGATTATCATACTTATTGCTGAAATGCAATGTTTTCACAGAACCACATAATAACGGTATGTGCACTAGTGGTAATATTTTTGTGATAATATATATCAATGATAACATCACTATATTCATTCAGTCATCCATCCAAATATCCTGTTGCTCTCTCTGGAGCACAGGGTATCCACGAAAGGCTCCATTTCACTTCAGTTTCTTACTCTTGTAGACAGTCGGTAGGACTACTTAGGCAGAGGATAAGAACACTGTAAAGCCGCTACCTATACAGGACAACACAAACACAGTATAAACGCACACAGACATCCATGCCTCAAGTGGGATTCGAACGCATGACCCCAGTGTTTGAGCAGGCGAAGAGAGTTCATGCCTTAGACAGCATGACGACTGAGATCAGCCAACATCACTATATGGCACAATGTAAATAAGTTACACAAAAATGTATTTGAAGTTCCAAGTAATTTCCAGGCATTCTGGTCTTCATCAAATCATTCCAAAAAATTAAAAAAGGCAATTACATCTGCTTTCATATCTATCTAGTGAATATATACTCAGTATTAGGTTACAAACCAGTCAACCACTAACATAGTGAATGGGGATCCAGAACCACAAGTTAAAAAAACCTCTCTTCTTAGAATAAAATAATAGAAGCAACTCTTGCAATTACCTCAGCATGATCTCGCAGGAACCCAATTGCATCATCTAACCTTTGCTGCTCAGGGGCGGCCTGTGATTCATCCAATGGTGATCGCACACGATTGGTTGTTGAAAACAGTGAGGGAGGGGTTGCAATGCACAGGTGAGTGGAGATGTGAGTGAAAGAGAAACAGAAAAAAAAAAACAAAACCAACACATTACAAACCATGCATAAAAATAAGAAACAAAAATAAAATGCTGCAAACTAAGTGAAACATATAAATAAAACAGGTTGGACCACAACCCACCTTCTTCACCATCATTAATGAAAAACACACACACACACACACATATAGCTCAAATGACAAGACAGTAACTGAAAAGATGGGTGAAGTTATAACAAGACAAAGAAAACAAAAATTAGGCAAGACAGCGTTCTGCCAGCATCATAACACACACACTGTGACGAACAATTTTAGACACTGCAGATCACATGACATTTTCTACAATGGAAGTGTTAATACAAGCCTCTTATTTAGAGATCCATTTCATTAAAAACACAATTACCTTAAAACACCATATTTATCAAATGCCAAAAACCCAATGTGGAAAAATATTTTTTTTGGCTGTAAACAACTGTCTTTAGAAAATTCCAGTAATTCAATTGCCACTTCCTTCAGGGCAGGTTCGGACTGCTTTTGAAGCAAGCTCAAAAGAATGACAATAGCCACAGAGGCCATCATTTTCATAAACATCCCAACCTAAATGCTAATAACCTTCTGTCTTTCCCAGCCCTAACACTTGTTTCTTCCGTTTCAAAATCTGCTACACATTAAGTGCCACATTTTCAGGAGAAGGGGAAAAGAGCCATTTTTTAATGCTAGCTAAAATGTGTTCATAAACATAAGTAATACAGATTTTTCCACTAAACCCTTCCTTCTAAATTGTGTGTATGTATTTGTGTGTGTGCGCGCACACATCAATGAAGGGTATGACACATCAGGGCAGAGTTTTTATATACAGGCACCAATTCCCAAATTATTAACAACACCATGAAACAATGCAACAGCGGTTCAAGAAGAGAGTCCAAAGAATAGAAGACAAAAGACATTGCACTGACAAACACAATTCATCTATGTCTTTAACATTAACATGACAAACAGCCTAAAACCTGGCTTCCTACAGACTATACAAATATTGCAGCAGTGAGTTACAGCCGAACACACTGTCCTGTTCTCATATATACCTGAAATAAATGATTCATTAAAGAATTCAACAAATTCACAAAGTGAAATCTAAGAAACCAAATACATACAAATACAATATTCAGTAAATATACTTTTGCTATGTTTAATCTGCAAATAACAACTGTTTGCTCTAGTGACACAATGGGACCAAAATACAGTGTGACTGTCTGACAGCTACCCCAAAACTGTTCAGCCACTCACACAGAAAGATAAGATACTCCTTACAGTGAGCTGAAGTAACTGGCAGCATAGCTGACAAACCAAGGGCCTAAACATATTATAGTTTCTCCTCAATGTGGCATTAATAAATCACTGATGACCTATCATGAAGCAGGCTTATGTATTATGTTCCAGCCAACTACACTTGTCTTACATGGTTCAAATTTCTGTAGCTCAGACTGATGTTTTTGAAGTCTAGACTTCTGTGTAAGGCATCTAAACGATATTCAAGAATGTTCAAGCCAAGCACCAACTTCACTCAGCTTTTTAATTTGATTCTGTTCATGTCCAATAACAAACCTATTTACACCTGTATAAAGTTTTCTATTTTGAATTGTAACGATGTGATATTTCCACCTGAATCTTCTCCTTGCTCTTCTTACAGCACTTTTCATATGTATTGTGCATGAACACTTGTTGCCAAATGTATAACACAAATGGCACTTCGACAAAACAAATAATGGGACTGCATGTGTAATATACAGTGTGTCCACAAAGTCCCTTTGGGGGTTTTGAGAAATTGTGGCGCGCAAATTGAGCTAGCCATGTGCGGTTTGCAGCAGATCATAGTGAAACTCCAAGTTTTTTACTGACCTCAGTAGACCTCAATGTGGGTGAGGTGAGGTGTGACCTCACAGCTCCCCGTTTTTGTTTCCCGCTGTTCGAGTGCCTGTCTATGGGTCATTTATCTGATGGTTGTGGCAACTCAATTAACTGCTGTTTTACGAGCGGGATCCCAGGTTACTTGTCACAGTTTCCTTAACCTCCACTTATGTTTCAGCAGATTCTGGAGAGCAGGTACATTGTTATTAGGGTCCAAGAGTGTAATTTGCTTGACAGCCTATACACTGAAGATGTAGTGCCAGTAAAGTCATGGACAACTTTATCAGCATCCTCTGAGTTAATCTGTTTTCTTGGTGAAACTTTCAGAAGCCAGGCTTTGAAACGGCTCCAAATCTGTGAATTTGTCAACCGGGCCCGAAAGATTCCTAGTTCTAACATGATCCAGCAAGTGGAAAACAATTCGTATGTGATCTGAATCCAGTTGACACAGAGACAATGATTCCTGACAGCACACAATATCGAACATGTCACCATTACCCACAGTAAATTTAGCAGTTTTGCACCTGAAGGGTTAGTAACTACACTATTCCAAAATGAATGTTCAGCATTCAGATCTCCTGTCAATCGTGACTTATGTCTATAGCTTTATAGTTCAATGATGTCTGCATCATTCCAGCCATGCTGTGGCAACTTACAGACTGCTGCAAGCAGCACTTCACCACTACTAGTCGATACGCAGACCCTTATATCTTCTGTTAAAACAAGAAGAACCAGGTGTACATGGTTACTGCGGAATGCCTTTTCTAACTGCAATGACAGTGCTATCTTTTCTTCCCAGGAAGCAGTCAATGGGATAAAAATGACAATTTGGAAGAAAGAGCCTCTCATGAGGTTTGACAAGTGTTTCTGAGAGCAGGGCCACATTTATATATAGGTCTCATAGCTGTTTACTGACCTCAGACCGCTGCCTCCAAATGCCACTTGCATTAAAACCTCTAACTCTGAGTGGCCTATGAACTCTTTAACATCCATTCTCTTTCATTAAGTACCATCTTTGCCTGTGGTTTCTGATGCTGTATGTCTTGATGCAGGACAGCTGTGAAAAACTGCTCTGTTGAAGTGAAGAAAAGAGAGAAGAATGTTCTCCCAGAAGATTCCTTGGGAGCTTGTTGTGCACTTCTTCTTTTGCATGGCTGCAGCCTCAGTATGTCTCCCTATGCAAGTGGCCACCTATTGAGGGGGTTGCGTGCAGTTGGCCCAGACATCACAACTTTTGGCACTTGTAACACTACACAAAGCCAGCCTGAGCTCTGTATACCTGTTCCTTTATGGTACGAGTAATATGGTTAAGGCAATTTAGCTTGAATATCTCTTGAGATTTTACATTCTTTGGTAAGGTAAAAAGGAATACAAGGAGGGGTACCATGTTGGTTTGGCCATTGGGTGCTGTTTAACAGATCATCATTTGCCTTGCTTTAGAGTAATATGAGGTTTGTGGTAGAAGTAATTACTATTGGTGGTGCCCTACATGGGCAGCAGTGTGTTCTCTGCACCTATGGTATCTGTGTCCATGTCAGTAGTTCTGTGAGGTGTGAAGAAGTTGGGAGTTAACATTGCTTGTGGTGGCAGCTTGATTCCTGTGGATGCTGGGACTGGCGTAGTTGACTTCTTGGCCGTCTGCAAGGTACCATTAGGGACATGCTTCTTGTGTCTCTTTACTTCCGGAAGCTGTCATCCTGGGCCACTGATTTGACAGAGGTTTTGTTCAAGACACCTCTTTTTCCTGCCTGTGAACTCACCTTCAGGATGGCCTTCAATTCATTCAATGTCACCATGTACATGCCATAATGATCACTACAAAGCGGCGTCCCATATAAAACTTTGCAAACAGTTTGCACTGTTGTCCTCTGTGCTATTTGCAATAGAGGTTCACTCAGAGCGTTCTTCCATCAACTTTCAACAGTTCCTTAACCATATGATAGGTCAAGAGGGGTTCTTACCTAGCAATGGCCTGACTGTCTGTTGATGCAGGGGCATATTTGGTGTTCACTGTCCAGCAATGAATGCCTTTTCTTGTTAAACAGTTCTGTCATGTCACAATGTTTTATAAAATAAAATTTTGTTTACAAGAACAATATGGAAGTAAAGAAATGGAATTAACTAACCCAAAAACACAAAAATGGAGGGAAATATCAATGGCATGATCCAAAAAAAAACCCTCCTCCTTTTACAATGTGCAGATTACTGATTTGTAGATTATCCATATGCCTTTCTTGGGTACATTTGCATCCCAGTAAGCACCTATGAAGTCCCTAAAACAATTCAAGAACTCCTCGGGTAATTGTCATTAAATCTGATACATAAGAGTTTTATGAAAATTCTTGCATCATATCAACATTAATTTAGATAGGACAATTTTGACAACCACTTTACATGAAGGCCAACATATATTTCTGCACATACACTGAGTTAAACATTTAATGGAGTAAAAATGTTTCAAACAAATGTTGCAGAGAAAAATAAACACACAATGTATGTGCAATACACTTTCTCTCTAAAACTTACAGAAGACAGTTCAACAAACTGGACACTGTGCATACATTTCTAAGTTTCCATAATGTATCATCCATACTTTCTGACTACTTTGACTGTTTAGCTGGTTCTATCTTCAAGTAACTTGCTTTTTCTGTTTAAAACATTCTGCATTTTGTGAACTAAAAGAGAAAAGATTAAGAGCTACATTTATAATTACAGTTCTTAGACGTGCTCTTATCCTCAGTCTTATAAGGGATAAAAAAACATGTGACCTGTACTTCAGATCATGGCCAATTTCTGAACATGACGCCATAAAACAATTTATACAGTATGCAAGCAAGCAACTGTATTTTCCAGTTATCCTCTGCAGGTGAAACAGCATTATTAAACAGCAATCAATCAACTAACCCAGCCTATTTGAACAGAACAGGTTTGGAGATGGTGTCATGTAAATATCTCACATGGCATAAGACTGTCACCCTTTACAATTTCATACTGTCAGCATCAAGTTGAAAGCTGAAAACTCTAAAGAGGAAAATCACTCTTTACTGCAAGATTCTGAATGCTCTATTTTGAAGTCATATCACAGTGTTCTCCAAAGGCCATCAGAAATCCTACTGTTTTCATTCAAGTACTTCAAACTGAGAGTCACCTTTTTAGGGCCCAAAATCTCCACTGAGCTAGGAATAAAAAGGTGAACAATGCACACAAACTCCAAATCCATTCGTCACTGTTTTGCAAACTTCACTGGCCTTCACATTAAATGCAAATTGCTGCTTCACTATGACTGTTTCCTTCCTTGCCTGCATTAAGATAAGGTCACTGCTGACATAATTTAGGCAGATACAAATTCAATGGCAAAAAGTTTGTTAGATTAAAATTATTTACACTTGAATTTCAGGTATTGTTTTCCTTCTCTTTTCTTAAATATTCACCATACAACAAATGTTTGGTAAGAAAAGTTGGAAATCTTAGTAAGATCCATGTTTTGTGTCACGATCAATTTTTAATGATAAACCACCTTGTCTGAAAAATTACATGGAGCTCAACTTTGGTACCAAGTAAAGTAAGAGTTAAAACTGACAGACACAAATAAAAAGTAAATTTGATAGAAAGCTTTTACTGCTGACTCCCACCATTAAATTTACCTGAAATTCATCAAGGAGTTCAAGAGATGAAACATGCACATTGACAAACATAAGTATCCATTTTGCATTCCATGTAAGCACTTTGTATATGTAATGCCATGTACCAGCTGGACAGAGAGGCTTGAAGTCACCAGGTTCAGACAAACAGCAAGATTTCACTCACCATGTGAATCGTGCGGTCTGGAGCTGCCACACTGGCACTGCTGGGTGTGGGTGCGTAGTGTGGTGAGGTGGGTGTGGCCGCATGTGGGTGGGTGTGATTGTGTTGTGTAGGTCCTGTTCCTGGTGTTGTGCCACTTGGTGGCCACGCACCTGCCCCACTACTGCTACCTCCTGGCCCACCAGCCGTTAGGGGTGGCGGTGAGCTGACAGGTGTTGACGGGTTTGAACTGTAGCTGCTTACACTCTGATCCGTTGGATAGATCTGCCAGGAGAAATGGGATATTTCTATATAATGAATGCACAGCCTACAAGGAGGCATTGCTCAGTTTCTTCTGGTTCCTTCTGGTTATGTACGAACCACTGCTGCACCACAGCAACTGCATAAAATTACTAAACTAATTTCAGTAACTGACTAAAATTCTGTTCAGCAACCAGACTATAAATGCTTCTCAATATGGAGTTCACATATTTTCTAAATGTGCTCTTTGCAGTTCTGAATTACTCATTTCCTTGGAGCCTCCTGTCCAATGAATACCAAAGGATTTCCTTGGGCATAAAGGGGCTGAAGCATGCAGTAAATCACTCACCTCCAACTAGTGACAAAGGTTAACAGTTAAGAAGTCATGCCTATACAAGTCCCTGGAATGACCTACAGATATTGCACTGCATAAGGTTGGAAATCATTTATCTTCATTCAAAATAAGGTAAAATGTAAATTATTTTAAACTTGGTGTTTGCTACTGCAATCCATTTACCAAAATAATATTAACGTTAGTGAATGTAACTACTGAACTATTATACTTCTTTGTTTTGCACAGTTCTTAATTCAACGTGCACACTTCAGCTCCTTAATGAGCCATTTTCAGCGGTATCACTACCTGAATATTACAGAAAACTATTCATTACATGGTCATTTGTAAGGACCAGAATATTATTTTGTTATTCAATAATTCATAACTTTTTCAATTAGAGATGCAGTCTTGGAAAAAAATGCTTCCAACTGTGTTTAGGTTCACAGGTCCACTTTAAGTCTACTCTTATAGACATAATTATGAATTAATTGTCAGTTTAATTGTCATTCACTTTGCAGCCAATTTCAAACACTAAAGGTTTATAGAATATTAATATTTTTTAATATAAATATTTTAGTCTCTCATTCTCTCTTAAATGTTTTGATGATATTAACTATAGTAGGAGACAGGATAGAGGTCAGTATAGTGACTGGCTATAAGCTAGAGGACCATGGGGGCAGAGTTTGATTTCAGGCAGGGGAAAGATTTTTCTCCTCTCCACGTCCTCCAGACCGGTTCTGGGGCCCACCAAGCCTCCTATCCACTGGGTGCTGGGGGTGCAGCTGAGGTGTGAAGCTGACCACTCACTTCTGACTAGTGCTGAGGTCAAGAATATGTGGTTCTATACATCCAATCCCCCATACATCTTCATGGCATGGTTCTTAATTACTTAAGCACAGGGACAACTTTGCCCTACCTTTTAACACTGTCTTAGCACCCCCTCCCCCAACAAATTTTGCTCTTTTGTTAGCAGGTTGTGTAATTTAACCGATTGTGAACAGAAACAGTAAGTGGGGAGGTACAAGGGATCTGTACTGAATTTGAGGTTCTCATAGCAGTGATCATGAAGAATACTGGTATGTCCTGTTACACGCAAGTATGAAAAATGTGACCTCAGTTTAACGCGCTGAACTAATTTAGAGCAACTTCCAGTGTTAGCACTCATTTTAATGAAACTTGCTTGATGGATAATTGAGAGGGGAGGGAAGAAGAGGGAGCAGATTACTGTTTGAGTGGTGGAGGAATGCAAGGGGTGAAGAGGAAATCTGGCCTAGGAGAAAAACTTTTCTTTCAGGTCTACTACTTTCTCTCTATGATGAGGTTAGAAAGCCAAGCTATCATTTTTTGTTGTGATTTATGCAATTTCACTTCCTACAACTCTATTTTTGAACACAAGTGTTGTATAAATAAAGGTGTTCCAGCACTACCTTCTTGGATATGTCCCCATGCAGTCTTTAGAAGTTCATATGGAACACACTGCTTTAAATTTCAAGGCTGAAGGGTTGGTCAAGCAAACAACCATCAATGGATGATTGGTCCTTGCTGGCTGCTTGCTTGGCGTACTCTTCAACTCTTAAAATGCAAGCAGTGTCCTCTGAAAAATCAGTAAACTCCTATCAGGCTACAAAGCATTATATCCCAGAAGACAGCACTGTGCTAAATTCTGGATTAGCCTTACCAAAAGCATCTTCCTACTGAACAGATTTTATCTTGCATCTTCTGATTCCATAGATGAACCTGTATATTTTCCAGTTGGTATCACTGAAACTTAAGCTAGCTTTAAGTGACTTACTGAGCAGCAGAACAAATCCATCAGCATATCACAGCAGAGGAAGCAAACAAACTGAACTTGTTTCATCTTATGTTGGGGAGGCAGGGCATCTGGTCAGTGTCTTGTCACACCTTCCTCCCCCCTCCCACTACTACACTTAGGAAAATATCAGCCCACACTACTATTCATAGTGTGAAACATCAGCCTTGTTCAACTAATATTAAACAGAAGAGCACACTCCCACTGGAGTCATCACAAATCAGTTATTACCAGTGTCTCCATGGCTGAGAAAACATGTAATGTTTTACTCTGGAACACTAGTTAATCTGTGATAGTTAATTAATACTTTTATTTGGGGGGGAGTCAGAAACATCACGATTATGATAGAAATGTATATGGATCTAAAGAAATTTGAGGAATTTCTAAGGGGGGGGGGGGGGGCTCAATAAATCCTGGAACCATGTGGTATCGTTTTAAATTTTCCCATAATTGTGTATGAAAATGTTTAAAACTTGCAGCTTCAGCCAGCGTTGAAACTCTTCAAACTGTGCAAAGCAAAACCAGATACAAATCAATCAATGCCAGCCAGCATGTGCCTTACTGAGGTTCCCTTTATTATAACGGCCTTATTTTAAGTTACTGAATTGAATTTATTTACATTCTATAAATCCTAAGCAGGTTAGTACCTTTGGATACAGAACAAGTCAAAATGTTACATACATAAGTACAGGCAATTTTAGCTTAAAAATTAATATAACTTAATTTTACATCATTCTCTATTTACATTGAAGTATTCATCTAAAGAGTAGAAGGAATGAGCATGTAGATAATTCTTTAACTCTGATTTAAACTTTTTAGTATCATTGCCCAAGTTTTTAATACTTTGTGGCAGATTGTTGAACACTTTTATGCCAGTAAA